TACTTTTTTATGTCAGAAACTCTGTACGCTCCCTACTCTCTGAAACCCTCCTTGCACTCCCCCCCCCCCCTACCTTCCGAGATGAGTTACGGCCCTGTCTGAAATATTACAAATATACATTGCATTATGTTCATAAATGATAGAATAAATAAGGTGTACAAACTATCATTTTGTATCAATTCCGACGTAATTAAAAACTTTGAATAACTTGAAAGAACTACATTTCTTTCACTTAAATTTTTCAATATCACTTGAAAATCGAGCCAAGTCGAGTCATCGTTTTCACAAAGATGGGTCGGTATAATCTGATACTGAAAAAATTCAATCGAAGGTATCAATTCATTGTCTGAGCGTTTTAGAACATAACATTATTTAAATTTGAATCATAGTTTTTCGCTGAGAATACTTAAAAATATTTTCCAAATGACTTCATGAAATGATTTGTCTATCCTTGAAAGAAAAATGCTTAGTCATAATATGAAAGAATTTCAAAATTTTATTTTAGTCACAGGTTATTTTTAGTATTCTTTTAAAAAATGAAAATTCAATATCTTAATTTTTTACTTCACATAGCAGCTCCACAGAAGCGATCGATAAAATAACTTTTTTAGTAGAATCTTAGCCTGTTTTCGCATGGTAGAGAAAGTGGATTGAACAGCATATTAAATAACTGATGTTTCTTTTTCCATTGAGCACGTTATTGAATGGGCTTCAGAAAAATTAATCTCATATGATTGTAGTAATAAAAAACAGGAATATGGTGAAGTTTTCGGAATACATCTAACTCACTAATGAACGTCTTCATTGATTTATATCACACAGAAACTCTGAAAGATCTCTATTGAGTGTAGGTAAAGAACATTTTGTTTTGAAAAATTCGAAATTTTCCTTTTTTTCAAAATTATCAATTTGGTAGATTCAATATGTCAAAGGTGAAGCGATAAAAAAAATGTTTTTTTTACTGCTTAATATGCCATGAAGTTCACTACGAAAAGTATTTATATCGTTTTCAAATCGAAATGTTTCCTTTATTTTCTGTAATTGTTCTACCAATAGTTACTGTAGTGACCAATAGCAGATTTTTATATTAATTCGTTGACTTAAGTTATGATAGACAAGAAAAAAAAATAATATTCCCCTTAAATCTTTTCGATCAGAGCATTCAACTCATGTTTCTAGTCGTAGTAAGATGAAAATGTTTGTTAAAACCTTTTAATTAATCTAGTAAAAAGACTTGTTTATTTTTCTTTTCATCTGTGTGAAATACACAGAATATCTACAGCTGTAGCAAAAAAAGATTATAAAATCTTATTTATTTTTGTAGATACTCTTGTTTTAACAAACCAAAAAAAATAATAAGAAAAACAAGAAATTCTTGTTACAACTAGATGAGATACAGTCAACAATCGAAATCACGACATATGTTTATTTTTCGTACATGGAAAGCTATAAAATTAATTTAATACTCTCTGATATTCAGACAAAACTTAGCAAAAAAAAAAGAAAAGAAAAATAAACAGCAGAAAAAGAATATTAATTTCAAAGAAAAACAAAAGAATCATTTGTATTTCTTTAAAAGTCGTTTTATAATTGGTAGAAAAAAAAAGTACATGTTTTTTCTCGATTCTGACATTCGCCAAGCATAATACGACATATAAATATAGCAGAAAAAAGTATTGTCAGCAAGTAGATTGAAAACAGGCAAACATGACCAAGATTGTTATCTTTGTGGCTCTAGTAAGTTTTACTCTTTTTTTTATTTTTATGGTGTAAAACAAAGTTCTTGAATTAAAGATATGTGCGACGATTTCTTCGCCACTGGCGCCTAAGTTCGATCAAAGTCAAAGTTTTCATAATTTTTTCAATAAACAAATATGGTCATCAAAATTATGTCAAGATATAACTTTGGCTCAAACATATTTGACTAACATCCAGCAATTTATAACTAGTCTTGAAGGAAATGATACCTATGCTCAAGTTCTTGAAAAACGTGCTAATGCAATAGCTTATTTCAAAAATGCTGATAATGAAACTATTTCATCGAACTGCACTCAATTTTTCATTGGTCTCAAAAATGCTCGAAAACTTGATACACAAGTTTTAATAAAACAACTAGAATATGAAGAATATATCCGTGATCGCTACAAACAAATTATTCAATTACTTGTTGGTACTCATAGTCGTATTGATGATGATTTCTAAAAAATTCTTTAGCGTTGATATCAACAATATCTATATCTATATATTTCTAACTTTTTAAAGCAATAATAAATATGATGCCATTTACAAATTAGTTTACTTGTTAAAGTTATTTAATAGAATACTTATATATTGATTAACATAAGAGATCATTGTATCAACATATTATTTTGTAAAAAGAATATTTATTTTTCTAATATTTGCGAAATAGAAAATAATTGAGTGTCATCTATTTTATTGCAGTACTTAACTAATAAATTTTCATAATTATTTTTCAAATGGTCTAGACATGTATGGAAATACAATTTGTGTTTCGAAGTTTTTAAGCAAAACATGCGATAGTGTGTATGACTGTTATCTTTGCAAATGCTAACGTGTTACTGATGTATACCTGTAAGATGACTAGAATTTTGATAAGTTCAGCATACCAATGTAAAAAAAGGTCGTATTTACGAAAACTATTGCTAAAGCGATTTTATATCATGTGAATGATTTTATGCATATAAACACGAATTTAGTTTACTCTATGATACATTCCTATGCATGCCATGCCATAGCAATTCATGTATGTACATGAATATCATAAACTTGCGCGTTTGACTGTGAAGATGATATTAATCTTTCTTTTAGAGGAGTCTCCATAATCAATGACGTGCTATACGTTAATTATTAAATTATTATTTCAGAACTATCATAGCAATAGATTTTATTTGCTTTTGCTCAAGTGAATAAAAGAGTTGACTGATTTTTCATTATTGATTTGCTTTTTTCTAATATGTCGAAGTCAATAACAAAAAACAAATTTGATAAATTAAACCTTATAAAGGTCAAATGTTTATGAAAATATTTTTTTATTTATTTAACAATACAGGCTTACTGTCTTCCATGCAAAATATACACTTATGTTCTTTTAAATGGGTGATGTCAATATTAAGAATAATAATAAATGTTTTTTTTTACATAATTGAGTAATAACAATTACAAAAACAGACATTAGATAAACAGTTTTCATCGTCCTCAAAAAAGAAACTCGAAAATTTTAATTGATAATATTCGACATGAATATTCTTCTAAAATATTATCAGTTTTTTAAATAGAATTTGTAAATAAGATCAATGTACATTGGGCATTAGAAAAGTTCTTTTTTTTGCCCAGCACTTCTAAAATCCAC